CCCACTGTCTTTCATTTAGACTCTTGTTGGACTGTAAATCTAGGGCATATATTACCAGCACTTCTTGTACATACTCCAGCTGGAAATGGGAGTGAATGCTCTCCTTTTTCCCTCCTCCACCTCTGACCCTCCTTCAGGCCTTTCTTGGTGTTCCTGGCCATCTGCCTGGCATCCAGAGTTGCCTGCATTCTGACAAGACAGAGTGGCTCACCTAGCTTCAGAACAACATCAGAGGTGCCAACACAAAGTAGACCAGATACACTATCCAAAATACCCCTCCATGGTTATTCCAAACCAGGACTAAGCCAGGAATGGTTCCAAAAATATATCACTATATTTTGGCCTGAGTGTCACTTCCCCACTTGGCAAGCTAGGGCTAGAGAAATTGGAACAGAGATTTCCTGTTAGCCTGTCTTATATTCTCTCCTCTCAGATATACATCTTTTACTTGTCCCATCTCTAATAGGACACAGTTGCCTCAGCTTTTACAATCATTTATAGCATATCAGAAAGAAGCAGAAGCTCTACATTTTCTCTCTGACCTTCTCCAAAAGAATTTCAGCCAAACTGTTCCCTTCACACTAAACAAATGTTTTTGAGTGAATAAATGATCAGCCAAATGAATATTTGCTGTATATTTGTACTTTCATATCATGGTTCACTATGTGCATTTTCTCTTTTTCTTGGCTCAGTGCAATTGTACCCATCCTTTGGGGTCATCTCAAGTCTCAAATTTCAAAGGCTCTTCTTCCTATCCCAGTCTGCTGAAAATCAACTAGTAAAGCAGTTACTTTTTTGTTAATCATCGTGGCTAATTAAAAAACTTCCTTTAATTAGGGCCAAATCATTTTATGTAAAGATACCTTGTCTCCAGAAATAGATGAGAAGCTCCTTTGGAGTAGGAAAAACATCCTCCCCTTATAAAACCTATGTTGGCCTCATGCCTATAATTTACAAAGGATTATCATCTATTTAATATTGTCTTTCATATCCTCAAAACCAGAGTAGGGCAGAATAGTGGCCTTATTTCGATTTTCAAAATGATGAAATTGAAGTACAAGGAGAATAAGTGATTTCGTCAAGGTCATATCCTTGATAAATGAAGCCAGGATACAACTAAATATTTTTACTTCAAAGCCAGTGACCCTTCTACCGTAGCATACTCTTTTCCACTTTTTAAAACCCCCTTCAGCATCCAACAAAGTCTTTCATGAGTTATAAGGGCTCAACAAAGAATGAGTGGATAAATGAATAGATGTATACTTTTTTCAACTCACCATTCATACATCTATTTAGAAATATACCTAGTTGATATTTGCTTCAGAGTAAAAGAAGATTTCTTCTGAGAGGATGTATTACATATATAAAGACATGAGCATTAATTGTTGAATTCATATATATAAACATATGAGCATTAATCATTGTAAGAAATAACCAGCAACGACTAAAATCTCAGTGCAAAAGATAGAGTCCATGGTGTTGTCAATATTTCTAAGTTTTCAGTCAGACTGTTCACAGACTTGGTAAATGGGTTCATTTACAAACAGACCACCTTCTGATCTCGTGCCTTAACTTTTATTTTATTTGGATACTCTAATAGGCCCTGCCTTGTGCATGTCGACATCCAGAACACATCCAGATAACACAGTCAAACCGATGGCTTGATCATCCTCCCTGACCCAGCTCTCTTAGAGATGCTCTGAGGCATTTTGAGTAAGTTCATACTGCATGAAAAGAAAAAAAGTTGTTTTTGCAGCCTGAGACCAGATCTTCCAGGAACTGGAGAAGCCAGTTCCTGGAAGGTTTTGAAAATGTTAGACCATCTGTACATTGCCTTTCTGACATGTTGGTAGAGATTGCAAAGTATTATCACCACCACTAATTTACTTTTCTGACAAAGAAAGGGTGTGCTTAAAAACGTGGAAAAAAGAGAAAGAAATCCTAATGATAGGTTCTTGAACGTTATCAGCATTACTGCAAATTAGCTTTTGTGCTAGAACAGCCTGTTTGGTGCCAGGAACAATTCTAAAGCTTTACAATACAAAATGGTGAGGTTTTAAGACAATGTCGTCTAGACAGAACTCGTGCGACAATACAATCAAATCATTACTGTAAAGTTAAAAAAAATAAAAGATGCAAAATTACTTTTAATTATTTCTTGGTGCCAGATCCCACCCCTCTAAATGAAGCGATTTTTCACTGTTATTTCTTCTGTCCCAGAAGATTTTTTCAAGTAACTACCCTGGCCACAGGCAGTGATTTAAAATACTAGGGTTGAAGCTACAGTTTTTACTTGTGCCCAAATTCAGATTGACCATCAGCTCTTCAGCTCAGCTTTACCATTGCCAGTTGTTCAATATACCTGTGTTGGGGAATTTAGACCTGCAACCCTGCCAAGGCCAGGGCCAATTGTTTCATAAGTTGGCAGGCTGGAGCTCTGCCGCAAGTCAGGACAGTGTCCTAGCAACCAAGTGACTCACCTCTTAAATTATCTCATTATTCTCTTACCCTAAATTGGGAGAAAGCTCATAATTTCCTTCCAATATATTTTCCTGCCACAGTGTAGTTTCTCTTTTAATTATATGCAGGAAAAGAGGTTTTCATTGTGGTGGTGGCTTTCTTTTCCATACCATTTAGGGCCTTTTAAAATAGAATACATTCCTCAATGAGTATATATGTATAAATATATCCAAATACACACACACACACACACATACACATATAAATTAAAACTTCATCTGTTGCTTCCTTTAATCTCTATTTTTTAAAAAATATACATTTTTTTTTTGTTAGTTTAGGACCGGTTCCAACTTCCAATCCCCAATTTAGATTACATGCTCTGAAACTAACTCCAAACATTTACTGAGTTTGAAGGTCACAGTGCTATTGATTGATTTCTACTTATAATGTATGTTGTCCTAACATGAGTTGTGCTTTTTTCTATAACTTTGGGCTAAGTCCAAAAATGCAAGGATCAAAGCATCTGGACTTGTTGCTTTCATGTTTGGCATATAAAGGGGCTGGCAGTCACCAATGTGGTCTTGGCTGGGCCCTACTTGTTTTCATTCTCTGATGTGAAACAGTTGGGAATCACAGACCCTCCAACAACTAGAGTGGACTCAATAAAAATTGGCTTAATAATCTGCCAAGCATTTGGAAGTGCCAGTCTCCACAGTTTTTCAGCAGTTATTGGCCATGACATGTTTCTTTCTTTCTTTCTTTTTTTTTTTAAGGAAAGAATTTGCTATGAAATTAGTTTTGAGATCAACATTTGAAATAGGTAAACTATTCATCTCAGTAAACTGACTTTATCATCTTTGATCTCATATAGTTCATTATTTCACATGTTCTATTTTTCTGATGTGATGATTTCTTTTATCTGTTTGTTTGTCTGTTTCTCATGAAAATCAAACACGGAATACAACAAATAATGGAGAGGCTTAAACATTTGACCATTCTATTGAAAGTCCACTAATTTCAGAAAGTTATCTAGTCATCTTAAACTTTTCAGTTCCTTAGATGTAAGACATCCCCTATTAAATAATTGAAGTTTGATCCCAGTAAAAAAAAATACTGAACATATTTATAAAGCACTATGAAATGTGAACATTTATTTTGATTAGGGTGTGGAATTTTCCAAATGGATTTTTTTTTCCACTAAACTCCAAGGCAATGCTATTCTTTGCATTGAATTTTATTGCTATGAATATATTTAAAAAGGTGGAATTGTTAGCTAAGGCTTATAAATATTTTCATTATTTACGAATTTCATTGGTTTTCAAGATAAACTCATCACCACTTTTACCTTTCTTTACTGCCTTGTTTTCCACCAAAAAAATAGTTGTAGTTAACATACATTTGCTATGGATTGTTAAGCTCTTCCAAAAGAAGGCTGTGTCAGGGTAAATTTACTAGCATTCGGGATGGGGGGGGGAAGAGAGCAAAATTGGGAGAGAATATTAATATTTTTGTAATTAAATTAGAATCTTAATTTGAATTTGAACTTCTACTCAAGCCACTGCAATTGGAAAAAAAGGAAACAATAATAAACTTAACAATTGGAAAGGAAAAATATTATCATTATTTGTTAATCATATGTTTATTTAAAAAATTTAAGAACATGGGGGCACCTAGGTGGCCCATTCAGTTAAGCATCTGCCTTTGACTCAGGTCAAGATCCTGGGGTCTTGGGATAGAGCCCCCCATCAGGCTCCCTGCTTCTTGCTCTCCCTCTACCTCTCCCCCTGCTTGTGCTCTCTGTCTTTCTCTCTCTCTGCCAAATAAATAAATAAAAATCTTTTAAAAAATTTAGGAAAATGAATGAAACAGCTTCACAAGCAATAAATGCATTTGTTAAGCTTGTTGAGGAAATGTTACTATTCTGAAATCATGCTAGACAGCTGCAGTGGCATGGTGAAAGAGAAAATGGACACTCCATTTACAATACCAAAAATAGCAACCCAAAGTGACATATGGAAGAATAAATTAACAGGAGATGCATAAGATCTGTAAGAAAAAAATCATAAGATGCTACTGAGGAAACAAAATAAGATTTAAATAAGTGGAAATGTGTGTAATGCTTTCGAAGAGGGAGATACAGTATCTTGAATATTGTTCCTTAATTAATTTGTAACTTTCATGTTAAATTCATAAGAAAAGAATAATTTTTGGAAGCAGCCAAGCTGTTTCTAAAGTTCATGTGGAAAGATAAACAAGCAAGAGGAGGAGGAACCATTCAGAAAAATGAAAATAACGAGAGACCACGCCCAATGTTAAACCACATTATAATGCTGTAATAATTAAAACAGTGTGATGCTGGCGCATGACTAGACAGATTGATTAATGGAACAGACCTAAAAGGCCAAAAATAGACTCAGATATGGATATGCATTTGGTATACAAAGGTGGCATTACAAATTAGTAAGGAGAAAGGGTTTATCCAATAACTATGTTGGAACAATTGGGTAAACACCTAGGAGAAAGTAAAGTTGAATCCCTACCTCACATGCTACATCAAAATGAATTCCAAAATGGGTCAAACACTTAAGTCCATAGGAAAATGTTTTTATAATCCGAGTGGAGAAGGCCTTTTCAAGTCAGATGTGAATCTAGAAGCCATTAAAAAAAGAAAAAGACAAATTCAGCTGCATAAATGGAAAAGAATTCTGCATAGATTAAATAAAAAATTAAGAGGTAAAATACAGATTAAAAGCTAAGAATTTATAAATTATATAAAAATAAAGGAATTGTGGGGCACCTGGGTGGCTCAGCAGTTAAGCATGGGACTCTTGATTTTGGCTCAGATCATGGTCTCAAGGTGGTGAGATCAAGCCTGGAGAACTCCTTGTTGGGGGACGGGGGGTCCACACTCAGAAGGGAGTCTGCTTCTCTCCTTCTCCCTCTGCCCCTCCATGAGCTCGCATACTCTCTTTCTCAAATAAATAAATAATTAAATCTTTAAAAATAAATAAAGAAATTGTTTTTCTCACATGTGAGTATTCTTTTGAATAATTAGGTAAAAATGAATGCAATGAAAGTGGGGCAAATTAAGTCAGAGGCTGTGGATAAGGGGAAATAAATTACTATTTAACAAATAAAAAGATTTCCAACCTTATTTACAATGACAGAAATTTAAATTAAAACTATATAGGATCTGCCTTTTACCTTTCAGTTTGGAAACAAAATCTCAAAGCTTGCTCTATCACATTAGTAAGAATGTAGAGAAACCTGCTTTTTCTTTTCTCGTTCTTTTTTTTTTTTTAAAGATTTTATTTATTTGACAGAGAGAGACACAGTGAGAGAGGGATCACAAGCAGAGGGTGGGAGAGGGAGAAGCAGGCTTCCCACGGAACAGGGAGCCCGATGCGGGGCTCGATCCCAGGACCCTGGGACCATGACCTGAGCCGAAGGCAGACCTTAACGACTGAGCCACCCAGGCGCCCCTGAAACCTGCTTTTTCATGAACTGATGTCAATAAACTGGAACAATTCTTATGGCAAGCAATTTGACAATACCCGAACTTATTAAATGTGTGCAGCCCTTTGAACAAGCAATTCTGCTTCCAAGAATTTATTGCACAAATCTACATGTTCATGCACAGAATGACATTACCTTGCTAGTTACTGCAGAAGTGCCTTTCATGGGAACATTAAAACAACCTAACTGGACTTTAGTGGGAGGCAAGACATAAATTATACCATATCCACAAAGTAGAATATTATACTGCTGTTAAAAGGATGCAGTACAAATTAGGTATTTTATTTTTCTCACACAAAAGCCATCTGGTGCTACCACACTGATATCATTTATGCTTGCAAACATCCAGGCTTTCTTTCATTAATTTTCACTGTGTGTGGGACCGCATGGGTGGCTCAGATGGTCAGGCATCTGCCTTCGGCTCAGGTCATGTCTCCAGGTCCTGGGATCGAGCCCCACATCAGGCTCCTGGCTGGCTCAGTGGGGAGCCTTCTTCTCCCTCTCCCTATGCCTCTCCCCCTGCTTGTGTGCTCTCTCTCTCAAATAAATAAATAAAATCTTTAAAAAAAAAATTCACTGTGTGGCTTACCACTTACTTATTGTGGATGGTTGTCCCCTTTCTTACATCTTAGTGATATTTCAGGCAGAGAGAAGTGGAACTATACATTCAACACCCTTCCAAAGAACATTCCCCGAAGACCTATCAGCATCTGCCCTCCTTTCATTGGCCAGAACTCTATTAAATAGCCACTCAAATCACAAGACATCTTGGAAATATTGTGTTTTAGCTGGGCACATATTTACCCAGAACAGAATGAGCTTCCATTATAAGGAAAGAGAGACTGTTGGAGATTGGGTAGGAAAAGTGTGTGTGTGTGTGTGTGTGTGCGCGTGTCCAGACAAGCATGCACACACATTTGTGCACACATATATGTATGAGGAGGAATAAGAAACAGGGGTTTTAGCTTCCTCTTAGGAGGAAAATATAAAATTCTAGGTAAGAGTAAAGATTTCCTTTTTACTGTATGATCTTTTATAACTTTTGAATTTTGTACTTCAGATATATTATTTATTACAAATATTTTAATGAAAAATGGTGCTTCTTTTTAAAGTGCTTTTCAATAAAATTCTTCAAAATTTCAAATTCACATAATTTCTTAATCAAGTGCTTTCAATATTAAAAGTGTAGTACTACCACACAATTTGTGCTGTTAAAGAAATCTATTAACCCCTTCATGGACAGAAGGATTTGGGCTAAAACTTTGGTTTTGTGGGTAGTATGGCTCAGAGGAAATTAGTGGCAATTTCTCTAAGCTTCTGTTTTCTCATGTACACCATGGGATAAGGTTATTTTTGGCACATTAAACTAGATAATGTATGTAAATGCATTTAGCATAGTACCAGGTAGGGTAGGTGTTTCATAAATGGTGTCTGCTATTTCTATTATTATTATGATAATCACCGTTCCTGACAACATTCATATGAGGTTGTGTATTTTCTCTCTAAATAGCATTAAAAGGAATGATGATATAAAGATTAGCCAGATTAGAAATAGTTTATGTCTTAACCACAATCTGAGAGCATCATAGTTTCTGTGAGTTTTATATCATGTGATATAAAAGCAGTTAAGTCACTAGGCTTCTGTAAAACAGATATATCCTCTATGTTGAGTACTATTAATGTTAGGTTCTGGACACTGCAATTGAACAATCAGTCTTAAACACATTTCTGCCAGATTAAAAGGAACTTGAAATTTCTGATTCAACTACAAATACGTAACACTCTAACTTTGATTGGCAATTTGTTGCAAAACTGACTTCCAAAAAGTCAGGATGCCTCAAAATATAGAATTTGGTAGGCCCAAATTCTAAATACCATTATTGGAATATGTCCCACAACTCAAATGCAAAAGATTGTGATTGAAAAAAAAAAACCCCTTCAGATTGTTAATAATTTTATAAAGAGGGGTGCCTGAGTGGCTCAGTTAAGCATCTGCCTTTGGCTCAGGTCCTGATTTCAGGGTCCTGGGATCGAGTCCCACATCGGGCTCCCTGCTCGGTGGGTAGCCTGCTTCTCCCTCTCCCTCTGCAGCTCCCCCTGCTTGTGCTTTCTCACTCTCTTTGTCAAATATATAAATAAAATCTTTAAAAAAATAATTTTATAAATAAAGACTAAAGCCATTTATTAAGCAGTTGGTTTTCTTTTGTGATCTATTTTCCACAAAAGAAACAAAGATTTTCTATAACCTGAAAAAACATTTTTACCTATAAATGTAAGAGAAGAAAATCAGCTGGACAAGTAGGTACCGGGTGACCAGTGAAGCTCAAACCCTTTTGTCATCTCAACTGCACACTACATGCATCAAATCTGTTCCTTTTAGGGAGTGGGAAGGAAGATGAAACATTCCATGTTCTGGTTCTTAAAGGTTGCCTGCAAATAGTGGAAACTTTTAACGTTAAACTTTTGAAAACCAGGGGTCTGTTCTACTGTTATAGTGTGCCTAGTTCAATATTTAACATAGTTGACTATTTCAGGATCTTACTGTTTTTCTTTTTTAATTAAATATATATTGAGCTTGTAGAGTGTCTAATATTGATTTAGTTCTGCAAGTATATGAGGTTTCAGAAATCTTTGTAAATCAACAATATATTCAAAATTCCCACTTTCTTCAGAAATTGGAAATAGCATTTCTAATATATAAGCAAGGCAACTGAAAGAAAGAAATTTGATTTACCCCAAGGCTCTTGAAATGCTAGAGTAACAGCCTTAAAAAGTAACCAAATTTTAGTCAGTTGTTTAGAAAGGTTGTCTTTAACTCTTGGCCCAAATATGCAAGTCTTGCAGTTTTCCAAACCATTAACTGTATCAGCAACACAGATACATGGGGAGGAATGTTGAAACCACAAGGGGTTGAGTATGTTTCTTTGTGTTCCCTTATCCCTGTCCTTCACTAGGTTGGCTATGTCTTATACATTTCCGTCTTTAAGATGTTCAGCTTCCCCCTTCCCCATTCCAATGCTGCTGGGGAGGGTTCTGAAGAGGGAAGGGATTGTAGTAAGCCCATAAGAAGGAAGCAGCTAAATAACAATCATTGTAAGCCTTATGTATTTGTGTACTAATATTGCTGTTTCTATAGTAAACATTGTGGCATTCATTTCAGATTCTTTTCGTAGGTAAAAATTTTAGGGTGGGAAACATTTCTTTCATCATTCCTTCAAAGCACCAGCAAACTTTTCAGTTTTCACAATTTGCACATATAATCCTTAAAACGAAAAGAGGTACCTCAGTGAGGGAGCATATGTGAGAAATAGGGAGGGGGCTGCGGAGGGAGAAGGGAAGAAAACAATGTTAAGTTATACAATTCTTGTATCCTTAAAGACAGCTTGGAGACATGGAAACCATATGTGAATTTTTAGCTAATAAAATAAAATGCCAAAATGTGGTGGCTAAAGCTATTGCACCCAAAATGTAATTGGACATATGCTCATTTACTTGCTTATAATCAAAACATTAAAAAAACTGTTTTGAACTCAGGCGAGGTGTAAGTATTGGACTAACTTAATTTATGCAATTATCTCACATGGAAAGAATGCATTCGTGCCATGGTGTTATTATTCCATTAAGAAAAGTAAACAATGTATAAGCTGGAATAGATAATACTTAAGCAAAACCAAAAAGTTCCTATTGCCCATGTTGAAAAGAGGAAAAGAACTTATTAATTTCACACAGAAATTATTTTCCAATGAACATGTTATTTGGCTCACGTGCTTGCTGTAGATTTATCTAAAAAATCACAGCAATGTGATTTTTATTCACGCAAATGAATGTCAGTCTGTTTAGGTAATCAATGCAAATTTCATTTCGTTAGTCAAAAATAACAGCTTTTACAAGTCTGGTGAAATTGCCAGAATGTCAGGCTTTGGTTGCTAAACTCAGTTTATGTACTGCATGGATCTAAATTTTTCGTGTGAACTCATTCAAGAATACCAAAATAGAATTGGGTTTTGCTTACCCAAAGGCCCTTTTTAGTCAGTCAATTTATTACTCTTTATTTACTTATTTGTTTGTTGGTTGATTAAGTTGGTTTATTAAGCACTTACAAAAAAACACAATTATTAAAAAAAATATGATCCTGA